GGACTCGAGTGGGAATCCGAAACGTCAAATTAATAAATTTTTTTGCGTCTGCCTCTTCTGAGCTGTTCACATTGTCGATGCACCGCCGCCATCATTTATTGACATCATCTCTCTCACTCGCCTACAAGGGCACAAATCGGCCACTAAGAATGTAGACCCTAAATCTCACCTAGCAACATACGTTGGAGAAACTGGGCATAATTTGATCTCCAGAGAGCTACCATCTTTGGTCGGGGTAACACGAAAGCTGAACGGCTAATTCTGGAGGCCGGGTTCTCCGATGCCCACTCTATCAACAGGCAGCTGCAACTTCCTGCAGCTTACAAATTCCTATCGTAGAGCTCAGGACCAAACAACCGCACCTGATTTAAGGAGGCCGTACGGAGATAGCCTGACGGCAAGTTTACTCGGTGAAGAAGAGCAAGAACCCCCAGGCCGACCGCCCGATAAAGGTTCAATCAACTCTTCCCCGACGGATTGGTGACTCACAAAGCACGCAGATTAAACGCCCTCCAACCATCTGCTGAGAGGCTGAGGCAATGAGAGGAGAGAACATCGATCAGCATGAGGCTGTCCAACACAATATGACACTTGAAATTTATGACCGAGTAAGTGCATTTTGCGATTTGACAGTGCAGAGCCAACCAAGCTATTTGAAACGTCAGCATTTAAATTAACCTGGTCCGACGAACCCATCTTCTTCTTCTTCAAATAATCAACCCCGATCTCTCAACTTTGCCAATCTGAAGAAATGACTTACCGATATTCCAATTAATGCATGTTCGTCGTCCATTATTATACAAAAATATATGTGTAAAATGACCAAATGACGACATACAAGATACTGTGCTCTAACTCACCACTTTCCATAGTCAGGATTGACCATTCTTGAAAACAGCAACCGTCTAACAAAACAATGGCCAGGAAAACTACTTGCGTGCCACTATAGGGACTAGATGGCGTGTGTGTGAGAAAAAAATTAACAGTTTCAGCAATTTTAATTTAATTTAATTTATTAAATGCCAGTTGACAGGCATTTTCAATGGAAGCGATTAAACACAAATCCGACCAGTAGTGAAAAAAAACTCCTGAAGAATAAAAATATAGTTGATGGGAGTTTTTATGGTTTGGAGGGTTCAGGATGTTCTGATGTCCCTAGTGTTAAAGTTTCGGAGGATAAACCCAGTCGTTCTGCATGCTTTGGAGACTATCAAGGCACAGTGCTCCGAGAATTTGAGACTCGTGGAGTATGATATGCCCAGGTCCTTGATAACCCTGGGCACATTTATGGCGTGACCTTCAGTTGAGGTTGGTGGTCGTCGCCAACCACCTTGACTGAGCACTTATGCCAGGAAAGAGAAATGCGACATGTGCGGCACCACTGAACGAAAGCCTGTAGATCGCTCTTTAGGAGCTCAAGCACGATGTCATGATCTGCCGACTTATATCGATATGCAACTTTAAGATCATCGGCATACATGAAAGGCTAACCATTCTGAAATAAATCGGGTACATCATTAACGAAAAGGCAAAATAAAAGCGGGCCGAGTACACTAACCTGAATGACTCCACTCCTCAAACGTGTGGGGTTGGAGATATTATTTGAAATCTTAACTCGTTGTGTACGAGTGCCCAGGTAAGAGGATATAAAATTCAAAAGTTTGCCACCTAGTCCGAAAGAGGACAGTTTCAAGAGAAGAAGAGCATGGTCAACACGATTAAAAGCCTTAGTGAAATCGAAATATATTGTGTAAAGTGCAAAACCATGGCCCCTAGATTGGAGAACATAGTCAAAGAAAGAGAGTTGACAGGTGTCACAAGATCGAGCTTTGAGGAATCCATGCTGAGCAACACTCAGTAAGTTATTTACTGTTAAGTGACTCATCATCTTATCCTTGATCAATGTCTCTAAGCTATTCGAAACTGTAGGGAGGGTGTTTATTGGCCGAAAGTCATCAAATGATGTAGATTTGCCGTGCTTAGGGATGGGCAAGATATTATTATTGATATGGCAACTCTGCCGCGCATTATTAACTATAGAACGCCGCCTACAAGTGATCAATGATAGCGAAAATGAATGCAAACTAAAGAAAAGAGCATGTTTTTACATATGCAACAGAAAAATATCAGTTTTTCTTAGCAACTTGAAAGAAATGGCCAAACATTTCAAACTTTCTCATGACTTCACCGCCAAAAAATATCAGAATATAATTCTGATTATAATCTACGTAGAATCTAATCAGCGGCTAAGAGCATTTTGCGCAGAATCTACGTAGATGTTGTCACATTTTCTCTGATTAGAGTCTGCGCAGAGGCCCTGTATAGAATCGACGCAGAATAATTCTTATTTCGGTTTTAAATTGAACAGCCTCAACTCATTCATTAATAAATAAATAAACAATAAATTTTTAGTTAATGCCAGTTTACAGGCATTGTCAAGTGAAGCGTTTAAACATAAATCCGACCGGCAGTGAAAAAAACTCCTGAGCTAAAGGGATGGTGGTTTTTATGATTTGGAGGGCTCAGGAGAAAAAACTGCCGGCGGTGGTAGAATATCGACCGTCAAGAAGGGGGAGGTTGCACGGTATCGGAGATTATCGGACGTCAAATTCCTTTCATGATGTTGGGGATAGTCAAAGTAGAGGCGTTGAGGAACAGCTGGTGAGACCGGCCGTAGTGTTCAGAGACCACAAACGCCATCGCTACGGTACAGTCGATCAGAGTTTTCAGCACCCAAAATTTGTGGGAGCTTTTCTGAATGCAAAAATCGAGTAATAGTTCTCTTAAATAAAGGATAATTTTGCAGAGTTTTCACACTCATGGGTAGTTTATTCCAAATAGCAATTGCATTTACAGAAAAGAACCGACGATATTTAACAGTACGTGCCAGAGGCAGAAATAAGAAGACCTCACGGTGACTGTTACATCGTGGGTGGATATGATGTCTTAAAGAGGTGAGTGGGTTAAATGTGTGATTATATAAGAGTTTAAATAGCAAAAATAGTCCCTTTTGTAATCTACGGAAGCATAAAGGATCGAGGCCTGTAAGCCGGCAACGTTCTTGGTAAGACAAATGTCGCAGTTCCGGGGTTAAAATTCTCTTGGTAAAAAAGTGTTGAACGGATTCTATTTTCTTCCGCTCAGTAGCACGCATGAGGCTAAATGAAAACGAACAGTATTCCAGACCAGATCTAACTTACATGTTGAAAAGGCGCATTCTAATGTCCCTAGTTTTAAAATTTCGGAGGATAAACCCGGTCGTTCTGCGTGCTTTGGAGACTATCAAGGCACAGTGCTCCGAGAGATTGAGACTCTTGGAGTATGATACGCCCAAATCCTTTATTACCCCTGGCACATTTATTGCGTGACCTTCAATATTTAGTTGAGGTTGGTGGTCGTCGCCAACTACCATGACTGAGCACTTATGCCGAGAAAGAGAAAGGCGCCATGTGCGGCACCACTGGGCGAAAGCCTGTAGATCGCTCTTTAGGAGCTCAAGCACTATGTCACGATCTGCCGGCTTATATCGATATGCAACTTTAAGATCATCGGCATACATGAACGGCTTACCATTCTGAAATAAATCGGGTACATCATTCAAAGCTAACTCTTACCCTTTAGTCCCCTCTCACACTCCTATTCCGTTTGTCCCATAAGACCGCAAATGCAAGCCGGATAGTATTATTCGGGGTAATAAGATTTTTATTTTTAAAAAAATTGGGCTTTTGTAAAATTTGACAGACGGATAGTACAAAAGACCTGAAAAGACTAACCAAATGATGGTTCGCAACAGGCGAGTAGAAGGTAGATGTTATAACTCATGAAACGTTAACCGAAATTCAGAAATGTGTTTTCCACTTGAACATATAAAATTAGTAGAGTTGTAATATTAACCACCGTGTAAAATAATCCCACTATGATTCGGTTACTTCAGGATGCGGGCCTTTGAACGAAACTTTTACTGATCCCCTGCAGAACTACACTCTGCAAGAAAACGGCACTCAAATACCATGCATCCTTCGTATTGATTTCCGATGGGCTTACGAATTCAAATAGGCCTCATTGAAAGCATACGTAAAAATATTCATTATTTTACTCACTAGGAAGTTAATTAGGTCTTTTTTAAATTTTGTGCTTGAAGGAAGCGTATAATTCGGTTTCAAAATAGATTTTATCATAAGATTCTTCAAGACCGTGAAATATTTGTTTATGGAGCATCGTATCTCTGCATTTACTAATGTTGCTAGTAAAGTTTAAAATACGACTGAAATCCACTGCTAAATTGTTGAACCCCATACATTCTTCTCTTGATAGCATATAGAAATGCATGATTTCCCGTACAGAGGAAATATACAACTTTTAGTTTGGAAATAGTGAAGGCATGTGTAACGGCAGATCGGGTTTAAAAGCAGTCGGAAACTGGCAGTTTTTTAAACCGAATTATACTTTTCCTGCAAGCACAAAATTTAAATTACAGGTAATCTCTTTCCAACTGAGTAACAGTAAATATTTTTATGGATGTTTTCCGTGAGGTATATGTGAATTTATATGGGTATCGAAACTCATTGAAAAAAAATCGTGCTACATAAGTGGTCTCTTTTTCGTAGGGTATATTTTTAGCAGGTGGCCGGAAAAAAATTCTTTGAAATGTCGGCATCCTGAAGTAACTGATTTCTAATGGGCTTATGCTGCATGGTGTTTGTTATTACAACTCTACTTAAGCAATCTGTCTAGTCAAATCGCATTTCTGAATCTCGGTTAACATTTAATGAGTTTACACACCTATTTTGCATAACAGCCGTTTTACTGGTGGGATGAATGCCCGGCCGTCCCAGGTGTTAAATTGCTTATGGGCGCGTCCCCGTCGTTGGAAAATAAGCAAGGCGATGGTCATTGTTGTTGTTAGTTAAATGGTACACACAAGCTATCATGCGTCCTAGGAATATGAATTGCAGTAGTAGTAGTAGTAGTAGTAGTAGTAGTAGTAGTAGTAGTAGTAGATGGCCCGAAAACTTAATATTCCCCGAGGAGGCTCGAGGCCCTCCATCAATTCGACCTCCCAATTCCCGGTCGACATCCGAGGAAAAGTTATCCGACCTAATCAGATTATGGTGTCCTTTGACGTGGCTTCACTATTCGCTTCCATCCCGCCGGACCTGGCACGCGACGCTCTTCACAAACAACTCGAAGATAACTACGACGAAACGGACAGACCCCTAAAAATCGACCACATACTGCAACTTTTCGCTTTCTGCCAACAAACCTTTTTCACCTTCAATGGCAGAACATACGAGCAGATCAAAGGAGCACCGATGGGTTCGCCAATATCCAGCCTGACTGCAGAACTAATCTTGCAGGAGCTGGAAAAAGTCGCCTTCGATCACTGTGAACCTGCATTTTGGCGCGGGTACGTGGACAACACGTTCGTTATAATCGAAAGGAGCAGACTGACCGACTTTCAAAACCTGCTTAACGGCATCTTCTCGGACATTCAGTTCACAAGGGAAGAAGAGCATGCCGAACAGCTGTCTTTCCATGACTTTCTCGTCACACGCACACCCAACGGCGAGCTCAGCACCACGGTGTACAGAAAGGCGACTAACACGATTCAGATTCTCAACTACCATAGTTAACACCCAATGGCGCATAAAAGCAACTGTGTTAGAACAATCTTCCAAAGGGTAAAAAAGGCGATACAGTGAGTTGTTTCTTCTTTCCTCTGGGGTCTTTGAGCGTCGACCACCAAGAGACGCGCCGCATAGTCGACGACGTTCTTCATCTGGTCAAGTCATCTCCCCCGGAATACTGAGGAATCCAGACTTGTAAATTCAAACAAGCCGCTAATTTTCCTTTGCCTTGTCTACCGGCAGCGCATATGGTTGCATCTACTGGCACGTGCGTTTGCTTTCTAACGAATAACCCGACGTTTCTATGTCCCTGCCATCGCTTGCTCGATTCAGCAGGTGTCGCAAAATCACAGTCAGTCCTGAGCACTTGCGGGAGGACAGTTTCTAATAAACCGCATTTATTGAAGAAAAATGGATGCTTTCGACAAAGCTTTTGTCGGATGACCTACTGCAGATGTACCCTTCGCAGTCTGCAGAGTGGACAAAAGGGTGACATCCTCGAGAAGGGAACCCTTGGTTTCGTTCAGCAGACGCAGGATCTCGTCCTCCAACTCGACTAGCTTCTTCTTACCGTTGGCGATGCCCATCACTAGCTCATCCTTCTGCTCTTCCAGCTCTGGTTTTTTTTTCGAACAACAATACCCAGGAGTTGGGCTTCAACACCTTGCTGCACAACAGCAAAATTAACGATGGTGGTCTTGGTGCAGATCTCCGATGTATAGCGCGGATTGGGACGTTTGGTTGTGGGGTAGAATCTGGGAGGGATGAGAGGACAGTACATGGACGATCACTTGGTCGTAATAATAAGAAGGATAAAATGCATGACGACGAAGGACGAAGGGGATCGAGGGTGGGCAGGAGAGACAGGAAGATTAGGAGAAGGAGGAGAAGGAGGAGGAGGAGGATGAGGAGGAGAAGGAGAAGGAGAAGGAGCAGGAGAAGGAGAAGGAGGAGGGGAAGGAGGAGGAGAATGAGGAGGAGGAGGAGGAGGAGGAGGAGGAGGAGGAGAAGGAGAAGGAGAAGGAGGAGGAGGAGGAGTAGGAGGAGGAGGAGGAGGAGGAGGAGGAGGAGGAGGAGGAGGCATCTTTTGACCCCCGGTCCTTTTTAAGGCACTCCTCTACTGTCGCCGCATATGCGGTTGAGAAGACACATGGTAGTAAGAATTACTATTTGAGGGAAGAAAGGTCCCAGTGCGAGTAAAGATACAATTTTCGTTTGAAGAGTCTAAATAAATACCTGCATGAGCCAGTGTGCTACGATGGCAATTGAGACGCTTATGCTTCATCAAAATTTCAACAGACGAAAGATAACAAGCAGTGGAGGAAGAAAAGGCAAAAAGCTTACTAATAAACCTGTCATTTAGTCTGGCAACCTCTTTTTTCATTAGGATGGCAACCTCCTCAAGGCTGTCACATCGGTCTGGCTTGTAGGGGATTTCCTTTTTGCGTCTTTAGAACTTTAGATAGGGAGAAGAAATTCTATCCGCTCTCACCATAACCGTATCAGGAGGACAGCAAGTATCACAAAGTTCATTTAGAAACCTTGAAGGTGTTTAAAGAACGATTCCAATTTCGATTTTTTGAGGAAAGCGGGGATAGTGTAAAATATGCAAGTCTGGATTAAGTAAATGTTTTGTAGGGACGTGTAGCAATTCTTGATCATTCTTTCAGGTTTGGTTATCAGGGCACGATTCGAGATCGAGTAGATTTTTGGAAGAGCATTATAACGTACAATGACCTAAATCTGACAAGAGAGTTGTGTTTTTAACACAGAACTGTTTGCAGTGATTGGTCAAAACGTGGTCGAGAGGGGCGTCTGCGTGAGTATTGTAGGAGGCAAGATCATCAATACTTAAAGTTTGAGGAAACCTATGTTCACGCGGTTAAAAGCGCCGCATAAGAGAATAATATGCTCGTACGACAATATAGCAAGTTGTTATGAAAGAAAGTCGAATAGTCGAAAGCCACATTCTGAAGTGACTGTTATATCTTGGAATCATGCTGCAAGGTAATAAATCGAATAACCCCACTTGAGTTATCTTTCCGAATCAAAAACGTACTTCAGAATTACTCTCAACTGCAACTGACGTGTCGAGTGTTTTCTTGTTCCCCCATCCAATATTTTCTTGAAGTGGAATCGTCTTCCGGTTTTTAAAAACTTGCTTTCGGGGAATGATTGATTATGCGACCGGAGTAGGTTTAATATACATAAATGCCTACTATGTTTGCATAAGTAGGCGGTGTTCGTCATCGAGTCACGCTTACCAGTCACGCCCTAACTTGAGTATCTACACAGAACAGACTAGCACGACCAATTTCGGTACATTTGCAAATTATGGCCGGGCCCACTCTATAACGAAATCACAGGCAAGACAGTTGGAATTAATTTTATGCATAGGAAGTTGCTTACATGTTGGGAAAATGAAGTGCGGGGATCATTTCTAAGACTTTAATTGCCGTAATGTTTCCTCATTGAATTCATTACTCGCATTATTTCCTTCACCGCTGTGGACAAATCACGGTGGGGTCGCCTGGTTCCCAAACTGGCTGGCGTTGATGATTTGCGTTTTAGATGGAAAAATAGTGCAGGGCATGCGGCATTTGCTTTTGTTTGGATTAATTAACACTTTTTAACACATACATATTCGTGTGTTTTTACTCTTCCCGTTATTCATTGTTTTGCCTACACTCGATTACAGTTACCACCATAGAGTGGGAAGGGGAATTTAATCTATTTTGAAGGTATGTATTCAAAATTGTCAGCAAAAATGGGCTCCATTTGCTGTGGACGTAATATCAGTTAAACAAAATAAGTTAACAATTATTACGAGGACAATTCAAGTCGCCGTGTCTGTGTTTTGAACACTTTACACGTGAGATAGCGTGTCAGGAACGGCAGTAAGGGGTACTGATATGTCGATGTACGGCAAGAAATATATCGAAACCCACAGCGCATGGGGCGGGACGGCTTTGCAGCCGTTAGAATGCAAGGGATGGGCAGCGTCATCCAGCATTCGACCAAAAAATTGCTTGACCGTCTTGAAATGTCATCGTGCAATAATATCGACTAAAAGAATTAAGAAACACCGGCAGCAGAAGAGAACATTTGGAGGGCTCGTTTAAATATGAACAGATGTTTTTTGAGCAAAGTAGTAAAAGCGACAGGAGAACAATAAAGATCAAGGGTTGAGGTGCGTGGTAGGGACGTAAACGACGAATGTAATAAAGAAGTTTCCGCACCTTACTGGAAAGGGTCGCAATATGGTGGACAAAACTAAGAACTGATGAGAACATAACACTAGGTACCTAAAAGATAATACCTCCTTAGGAAAGATGTCAAATGATTCAGGACTAGGGGAGGATCGCAGTCGGAAGATACACTGGAAGGATTTTTGATTATTCACTACAAGACCATTTTCATGCGGCCATACATCGACATGTTCAAGGCCATTCTTCAGAGACTGGAGAGGAGACTGATTTTTGAGAGGGATACCAACAACCACATTGTATGCATATTTAACTAACATACCAGAAGCATTACCCGGGTGGGCTTGTAATTTTGACCATCAGGCGCTTTAGACCAGAAGAGTTTAGGTAGATGGGGTCATAATATGAATTATCATGCAACATAATCCTATACAATTTCAGACTCGCAAGGATGTTTCCGTTTGAATGCATTTCTTTTCGACCTTCTGTATACACTGCCTTGAGTAAAAAAATGACTTCTTACCAGTATGCCTTTTCCCATTGGTTTACGATGACCGTATTAATTCACATATATTTTATAGATTAGATGCGCCTAAGGACGCTATATTATACTCATTTAATGGCAAATTAAGTCATACGGTATATTCAAGTGTCTGCGTCAACAATATTCTAGGTTAGTGAAAGACAAGTGTAAATCCAGCTAGACGTTCTCCTGAGAATTTAAAACATGGTCACATATTGCCAGCGAGATCTCAGTGTATTTTATTTATACTCACCTATCAGCGCGATATGCAAATGTAGGTTGGTTACTTTGAAAAAAAGTGGACATTTATTGTGGATAACGTAGTTAAGTATGCCGATAGCGACCTCAAAGCATGTGCTCATTACTGAATCAAGTCGAGTGATCCTGCCAGAATATCATCGTGTCGGCTTCCTATTGCGCTTCCAGAGAAATATTATGAAATCTTGTGAATTTCTTTCAACAGGTAAGTGATTGAGTAGTCCAGGTCTGAATCGCTGACGGATGAGGGTAGTTTGTAGGACCCCAAGCATCTGTTGCATACAAACAACTGCCTACTATACTTCTTTAAGTATGTCGTAGGTTGTTGGTTACTGCCCTAGACACGGAGTTTGTGTTCGCTCTGACCCTTCCGTTTTTGTTTGTTCGCGGTCGTTGAGTTACCTTGAAGCACATATTTTCCGTGTGGAATTTGATAACCTATTAGCTTACTTAGCATTTTCAGGCCGTCGCAGGCGTTACCCCCTCAGTTTTTCAATACCTCGCATGAGCTAGGGTCAGTGAGTTGAGAAACGATCGCTTCCGTCCTCCAACTTAGATATTACTCCTCAACTTACTATTGCCTACGATGACCTAAGCTCAGAGACTTGAGAAGCGATCGTATAGGTCCGGTCGTCCGTCGCAGACACATTCCAAATTTCACTATGTGTACCGATTTGGTCAAAATTCGTTTGTGTAGCTTTCAATGACATCGCAAAATCGTACACAAAATTACGGTGCGGTTGCCTCCTTCACGCATCCCTCTTAGCTCTCATTGGTTGACCTTTTCTTGGATTCCTCATCTGCTGATAGCTACCCAGGGGCGGCTTACGCAAAGTGTCCTATTCTTCAAAATCTATATATTGTCTATTTTTTAAAATTATCGCTCCCACTCCCCGTTGCTGTATGTTGGCTTATTAAACGATTTACGAGACGGAAACGAATATTTTACGTCTTCTTCTTGATTTTTTTATCAGGTCACCTACCACCGATATGTCCCACCCGTAAAACGTCTATTATCC